CTGGGGGACAGAGCAAGACTCCGTCTCAAAAAAAAAAAAAAATGTTAAAGAATATCTGAGCATTCAGGTTTTTCTTTTATTGGAGGAGGGGTTGGTGGTCTCTACTGTTTATTCATTTTGGGATCGTTTCTAAATGATTGCAGTGTAGCTATGGAAATCGTGGTGTCATCCACCTGTCTCCTCTGATAATTGTCTAGACATACATAGATAGAGCTCCACAGAGAAAACCAGCATGTATTTTATAGCTGACACCGTTAAATACTTCACAAGAAATAAAGGGATCTGTCATCACTTCTGCTGGGACATCTGTGACGCCTTCTTCAAGTGTGCCAAGTATGATTGCGTGCTCAGTTATGGCAAACAAACTCACTCAGCGCTGATTGGATTCCAGGCTCCATGGTCCCCTTCTCGATGCGCATCTTGCACGCGGAGCTTCAGCAGTACCTGGGGAACCCACAGGAGTCGCTGGATAGACTGCACAGGGTGAAGACCGTCTGCAGCAAGGTAGGTGGCGCTGTCATTTTTCCCCGCCACGGGGAGAACACGCCCTCCACGCCCTCCCCACAGGACGTGCCTGGGGTGTTCCCTGCCCATCCTGCCCCCTGCACCATCGCTGCTTCTGCCTTCAGAAGGCTAGGTGACCCAGTGTGTGTGGCCTGGTAGTCATGGCTCTTGCTGAAATATTTTTTAGGGATGGTCAGAGTTTCTAGCAGAGCTGAAGTCCTGTAATTCTTACTGCCTGGTACTGTGAGAAGCCAAAAGGCAGAGACGTCTTTCTTGCCAAGGCTGCCGGCTAAAACGTCAAGGTCAGTGTGCCAGGCCACTCCTGTGTCCCGCAAGTGCTCACACGCACCTGCCATGTGCAGACAGAGGTGGTGCCGGAGCAGTGCTGAAAGCGATCATGGTTTGAGCTTTCACATCAAAGTAAGTGGTACCGCATTGTGGCAACTGTCACTCATGACCCTGGCTGCAAAGGCAGAGTCAGAGTGTTTTTGGACTCATTCTCGGTTGTGAAGTCACAGATAATGTGGGAGCCACCAAAGCAGCACATTATTACACTCACTGACATTGGGAAGAAACGTGGGACTCAGAGACTTTGCTGTCTACAGGCAGTTAGAGATCATTCATCTCAGATTAGGAACGATCCTGCCTTTCTACCCACGTCACAGTGCTCCTGTGTAGGTTCAATGACATAAGGTGTGCGGAAGTACTTTGAAAACTACAACAACAAGCAGTTTTTAGGAGCAGCAGCATAGTATGATTTTTGGAAAAACGAAGATGATTCTTGTCGAATTCCCCCTTTCACTTCCCAGCTGTTGTGATGGAAGTTTTGTGGAGTTCCAAAACGGTGGTGTTGTCAGTGTTCCTAGCGAGGAAGGAAGGGGCCCTCCTTGTCTGTGGAGAAAATCAGGCATTTCTAGGCACCTCATTGCCCTGGGCTTTGCACCCACTTCCATTTTTTTAATACCATAACTTACAAGATTAAAAAGATGGTTTGCTTTTTATACTATATATATAGTATAGAAATTGTTGATGGAGAATCATGTTACCAGCTGTTTTACATTTCAACACTTTTCTTGAATCTTAAAACGGGGTTTAATTTTATTTACAGAAATCGGAAGCACATAACTTGAAATTGGGAAATTCTAAATCAGTGACTTTCTAAACTGTACACGAATTTTTCATTATCCTCCATGTCACGTTGTAGGAAATCTTTATAGTATTGAGAGAGAAAATCCTGGGCCATAGGGTGATTGTGGATGGAAAAGCCAAGTTAGTTGAAGTAGTTTTGCAAGTCAGCTTTCCTGGTCCTAAAGTATCTCCTATTTCAGTATTATGCTTCTTAAATGCATACTACAGCCTGGGTGCAGGGACTCATGCCTGTAATCCCAGCTACTCGGGAGGCTGAGGCATGAGAATCGCTTAAACCCAGGAGGCTGAGGTTGCAGTAAGCCGAGATCAAGCCACTGCACTCCAGTCTGGGCAACAGAGCAAGACTCTGTCTCAAAAAAGAAAAAAAAAACTGTATACTACAGTGTAGCGATCAGGGGAGCCACTTAGCACTAGCTGTGAAGCAGCAGGGACAGTGGAGCAGAGAGCAGGAGCTTCCCACACCGCTGCTCCAGGCACCTGCACCCACTCCACCCGACAGACTCCTTTGTCGCATTCATTATGAGCCAGCCACTGCTCTGAGTTCCAACGTTAGCTCATTTAATCCTTATCACAACCCTATGAAGGAGATGTTATTATCCCAGTTTACAGATGGGGAGACTGAGGCATGGAGAGGTTAGCCAACTTAGGATCACATGAGTTGAACCCAAGTCGTCTGGCTCTAGAGTCCATGCTCATCATCACTCGCCTGCCTCCGTCACTGTAATGTGTCCCGTTTGAAGAGAGTAGGACCAAGAGTCCTCTCTTCACCCTGCACCAGCATTTCTGCTCCAAGGAAGGACAGTGCTGTCCGGGGTCAACTGACATCTGCTCAGAAGACCCCTGTGCTTCCCCCTGACTGATGCCTGAGATGGGCTCGAGCCTGTGCTCTGCTGGCTGGGCCCTCCTGAGACTCTTGCGGGGGCTTCCAGGCAACAGCAGTTGACAGCTACGCATTGAGGGGTTGGGGAGAAACCAGAAGGATCAGTGCAGTCACCTCCTAGGAACATTTCTCTCAGGCTGACTGGGCGTGGGGCCACCGTCAGTGAGAGAGCCACTCATGCTTCTCGTTCCCTCCGCTAGTCTGCCGTTCCACCTGCCTCTCAGCGTGTGAATACATCACCACACGTCAGGCATCTCTCATGTTTACAGATACATATTTTTTCTATGGCATGATCCAAATATAAGCCAGCATTCCTTGTGGTACTTAATTGAGGAAATCGCAGTTTGTTCTAATCCTGGAAGAAAAACAAGCAGTTGGATTTATGAAAAGATGTGTGTTGGTCTTCACCTTAAAGGATTTTCATGGTTAATTTCAATATGTAATTACTATGTGTTCCTTTATGTGCTGACTTAAAATTTGACACCCTCTTGAGAGAGAAAGCTGCGCTGTGGCACAGCTGGTGGATGCCTGGACCACGAGAGAAAGACCCAGGGTGGGACCATGCAGTCAGCCTTGCCTCTCCGCCACCTTTGGCAGGAGAAGAAGCACCGTCGCCAACTTCCTCGCTCTCTTCCTTGCACATTAGGGGCTCATGGCAGCATGTGGGCATTCTTAACCCTTCTGTGACTGGTTCAGTGTTGAACTGAAGCTTGTTCATTTGTTCATGCAGCAAATGTCCATTCAGCACCTACTGAGTGCTGCACGCTGGCAGTTGGGGACTGAACAGAACACAGCCTTGCCCTCAGTGAGTTTACAGTTTGGTAGACGATGCTTGTTTCACCTGTTCCTTTTAGGTTTGCAGCCATCACCAATACATCATGATCATCCAGAATTTAAACAGGGACAGTTTGTGTTCATGCTCCAATTTCTTTACTCAAGAAGTGTGTCTTAGTCCATTTGGCATTGCCGTAAAGGAATACCTGAGGGTGAGTCATTTATAAAGAAAAGGTTTATTTTGGCTCACACTTCTGCAGGCCGTACAAGAAGCACAGTGTCAGCATCTGCTTCTGGTGAGGCCTCAGGAAGCTTTTTTTTTTGAAACGGAGTCTCGTTCTGTCACCCAGGCTGGAGTGCAGTGACGCTATTGGGTCACTGCAACCTCCACCTCCCAGGTTCAAGCAGTTCTCCTGCCTCACCTCCTGAGTAGCTAGGATTACAGGCACCCACCACCACACCTGGCTAATTTTTGTATTTTTAGTAGAGACAGGGCTTAACCATGTTGGCCAGGCTGGCCTCAAACTCCTGACCTCAAATGATCCACCTGCCTCGGCCTCCCAAAGTGCTGGGATTACAGGCATGAGCCACTGCACCTGGCCAGGAAGCTTTTAATCCTAGTAGAAAGCAAAGGGGAAGCAAGTATGTCACACAGTGAGAACGAGAGTGACAAGTGAAGAGGAGGGGGACGAGGGAGGCACCAGAGTTTTTTTTAACAATCAGATCCCAAAGTAACTAATGGAGCCAGAACTCATTCATTGCCATAGGGAGGGTACCAAGCCACCCATGAGGGTTCCACCCCCAGGACACAGACACCTCCCACCAGGCCCCACCTCCAACACTGGGGCTCACATTTCAACATGAGGGTTGGAGGGGATGAATGTCCAAACTCTACCGTAGTGCAAAAATCTGAAAATACTAAAAGCCAGCCCACCACTGTTCTGCCAGTGTTGATTTGGTGGATTAAAGTGAACAGCTTGGTGTGGCCTTCGATCCTCTCTGCTCTCCACCGGTGAGTAAAGAGAGAGGTCAGACCAGAGACTCTCCAGGGTTCTCCAGCATGACTGTTCTGATTTTCCCAGACCTTCGCAACTCCAGGAAATCCTCAGGAAGTCTTAAACTAAGGATGTGTCAGCGAGACCGCTCCCTGTTTGGACTGCTCTGTGCCTTGTTTAAAGCATTCACCACACCTGCCCCAAACCACGCGCACACACACAGCTCTGCTTGGGACACGCACTGTGTGTCCCAGCACTGAGGTGCTGTCACGTGCTAACGCTGCACGGATGTGTGCTGAATGCATCATGTTGATTACCTACTAATGCCCACAGCAGCTGCAGGTGACTTTACTATCCTCGGTTCCCAGATGAGGAAGGTGGCCTTAGGGAGGTGAAGTATCCACCAGACAACTGCAGTGAGGCAGTGAGAGAGCCTGGCTGAGCCCCACCACACAGCTCCAGAAGCCTCGCCCTTGACCACCAGTCTGCGGTTCTCTGTGAATTAGACCATCAGGATTGGGGTTTTTTCCTCCAAATACAGACTTTTCTCTGCTGCCTTGTAAAGCAGGGGCTCTAAAGTTTGGGGTTAAGCGTCACTTGAACAGTTCCAGAAATTTTAGCAATCCCGACTGCACTTGCTCCTGCCAAAAATTGTTCTCAGTCGGTTCAGGGAACTGTGAACTCTTCCAGTGGTGAGGAGAGTCAAGCAGAGTGAAAAGAAATGAGTCTAGAATGTTAAACATTATTTCCTTTGGTGCCATTTTCCATTAGCTCCTCCTCCCTCAGCTTACCCTCCTTGGTCTGCGCCTCTGGCCCTGGTCTTCAGCTCCACCTCAGGCTGCTAAGGGAAGCTGCGTGGGAAGCCACCGCCGCCATTCTGCATGAGAATTTCCAGTGACCACTCCTGAGCCGGCCATACCCAGGCCGAGCCCTGGAGTCCTGGATGGCCCCTCCTCTCAGGTCTTCTGGGGGCGCTTGAGCAGGCGGAGGCCAGTGCTGGGGCTGCAGTCGGTGGCTGTTGACTGGCCCAGAGCCTTGACACTGATCTGAGATGCTTAATTCAAGGATGTTCTACAAAACGAGATAGTTGTTTCTAGAAAGAAAGCAGGTATTTGGTTCATATTCCCCAAAGAACTCTGTCCCATTTGTTTTCACTGCTTGCATGGCATCTGTTGTTGATCTTCAACGTAGTTTTTCCAGGC